ATCTTTTCGAGTCACATGATTTTCGAGTATGCCTAACACGCAGATAATATATGCATGCATATTTAACATAGTATCTAAAGCAGTGGAAGATGATTTAGGAGTATGAGAAGGTAGGGCTGGTGGGAAGGTGAAGGAGTGGTGGTGCATGAACAATTAACGTTAATTTCAGCCAAAGTGCCCAGGTACCGTCGAACACGGGTTTCGTTGAGAACCTCGTACGGGACCTCTTTGCAATGAATGAAACACTAGATTCTTGTGCAACCATTGCTCCCCCTCTAATGTCCTTCCTGCCCTTGTTTTCTCTAAACTCAACAGCAGAATCATGGTTGTCAACAGCACACACTTCTTCATGCACCAACTCATAACAAACATTAACACACTTCTCATATAAACAATTAGGGACGGTAATGACGGTGGACTCTGTGTTTAATCAAATTTATATAGATGCTTGTTTATATATATATGTAAGGTGAGCATTGATAATGATATATTATATGGTAACGAGTTGACCAAAATCCGCGGCTTGGAATGGTCAAGAACGGTGCAGATAGTCTAAATCAAACACCCCGATTTTTCCTCTCAAATGCTAACCATTTCACATACATTAATGTTATTTTAATTAAGTCTAAGTTCAGACTCTAATTAAGTTTATTTTGTATGCTGCACATTTCTACTTTCCGCCTTTTTTTAATGTTTTTCTAATCATGGTATGGTTTTTCCTTTCGTTTTCCTTACTTTTTTTCGGGGTCAATATTCATGTGATGTACATTACGTACCAAACCAAGTTTTTTGGTCCAAGTTAGATTTCCAAGCTTGGGGTGTGAAAAGAAATAAAGAGGTGGGAACAGAATTACATGGAGTCTAAGACCGTGACTGGGCCATGGAGCCCATATTTCATCTACCGACAATACAAACTGGGCTTGGGTTTAATTTGTTGGCCCATTTTCAATCTTGGATCAAGAACTCCAGATTTAACCGAACTACAAGTCGTATAAAACTCAACTACCGGGCCTCATCAGTAATTTAAATGATATACAGTGTTAATTTTTCACACTATATAACAACGGTGATTTCTAAATTGTTTATTGTGTACAAGTATTAACACTAGTGCATAACCATAAAACTCTTTATTTTTATGTAAAATCTATAACAAAATTCAGTTTGTTCAATTATATTTAATAGTTTGAAATTCATTTCATCAAAATTAATTTTTATAAAAAATTGAAAACAAACAGACAGTAAATACTACATGAGTACGCTTTAAGATCAATTGAAGCCGAAGTTACTATTAGAATAACCTTATCTTTTACTATAATATTATATAATCTTATCAAAATTCATATAAATGAATCTCCACTTTACCCGTTACATTTTTTCTTGTTGGCAGATAATTCTGCTGTAATTTTCTTTCATTGGTTTTTAGTATGAGCTTTTAACGCCTTATGTGCAAAAAAAAAAAACTATGAAATTCAATCTATAAAATAATATAGAAACATAATTACACTTAAAATCTACATAAATAAAAACTATTTTACCTTACATAAAATAATAGAAAATTTAATATATAACTATAAAATTCTAGTGTCCATTTGTTTATTATTAACTTATACCTAACATTAAAAAAATTCTTTCAAATTTTAATAAAATAAAATAAAATAGAAAATCAATTACATAAATTATATATTTATATGTTGAGCTGATTGATAAATCAAAAGAATCGAACTATATATTTGAAACTCATTTATTTATCAAATATAATTTTAAGTTCAACAAATTAATTATTAAATTAAATTTTAAACTATTTTTGAATTACTTCAAGTTATTAACATTCTTACTGTGGAGTACAGAATTGTTTCATTTCCTTCCTTTTTTCCTAATCTCTCCACTCAAACTCGAATTCGTCACACTGGACCAAACTGATAGGAAGGCCTATCCAATATATAATGGAACCACGAACAGGCCCAAGCGCCGAATCAGGAAGCCTCTTTGGCATGATGGATTCGAGACTTAAGCAAGTACAAGCCATATTTTAGTTTAAATTAAATTGCTGTTTGTTTTTCCTTCAAGCGTCGTAGCCCAATTATCATAATTCTTTAGTTGGCTCATGATATATACAGTTTTTTTTTAGAATATATTTTATAAATACATTTTTTTAAATAATTAAAATTTTAAAATATTTTTAATTTTTATAATTTTTATAATTTTTTAATTTTACAGTCGCAATACTTAATTCAATACTTTTTTCCTTCTTTTTATACACTTCATTCTTTCTTTTTTTCGATTTTCACATATACTTCCTTATCTTTTCTTCACTCCTATCTATTTCAATAGGTAATTTTAATTTAGGTTTAGAGTTTATTTCTTTCAATTTTACATTACTCTCTTCCCCCTTTCTCTTTCAATTTTCTTACTATTATCTTATTCCTTCACTCTTTTAGTTTTCACATGCACTCAGAATGTAAAATTACTTTTCGACAACATTATAAACGCGTGTGACTTTCTCAATAGCGTTAAAAATGTCAAACCAAATGTGTATTTTTCTTTGAGCACTTCTGCCATTTACACGTCTAGAAAACATAACAGTAAATGATTTCAATGTTTAAGAAACTATTAAATAATTTTAGTATTCCTGAAAAGTATTTTTTGAAACTTGGTTGTTAACATATTTCTGAAATGTTCTTTTCGAAACAGTAAATTTAACATTCCGAAAAATGCTTTCCAAAAATTGTTATTTTACATACTTTTGAAGAATACTCTCCAAAACACTAAATTTACTATTTTAGAAAATACGTTTCGAAAGTATGTAAAAAATACAATTCTAGAGCATATTCTTTGTAACATTGATTTCATTATCCTATAAAGTATTCTGAAAATAGTAAAATTAATGTTCTGAAATATCTTTTTCATAACATTAGATTTAATGTTAAGGTTTTTGGAGATGTGTAAGAAGAAGTGTTAGAAGAAAAAAATAAAAGTGAAAGAAGTGAGGAAAAAAGAAGTAATATAAAATTTGTGAAAAATAAGACCACCTACTAAAATAAGTGAAGAATTAAAAGAAGACAAAAAAATACATGTGAAAATTGAAATAGTGAAGGAAGGAAGTGTGTGTAAAAGAAGAAAAAAAATAGTAAATTAAAAGTTGGAGGTTAAAATTAAAAAATTAAAAATATTTTTGATTTTTTTTTTTAAAAATAAGAGGTATACTTATAAAAAAAAAAAAAAGATATATATATGGTGAGCCTCTTTAGTTTCGGTGCTTTTTCTCCACGTCAGATTGTTCTAGAATCTCTCGGAGACGTTGCCAGGAGTATGGCTCAACCAGATTTCCAAGAATTTTCCCTTGTATTTTGTTCCGACATTGTTGAATGAAAAATAAGGAAGTATTTACCCAGAAATTAGCATTATTAGTTAGCCTCCATTAGGAATTTATTTCTAACACAAACACACAAATTTATTAACGAAGTCTCACATTTACATAAATGGGGCAATATTTATACAAACACTGGAGCAAATAGCGGCCATATATAAAATTCACATATGTTAATTCACTCTGTTTCCAAAATCCAAACTACTCAATCCGATACAAGAAGACGACACCAATTAAAGATGCAGTCACTCATTTACAATGTAAAAAACGGCAAAAGGAAAATTTTATTGTAAAAAAAACAATATGAATGGGCAGACGAAAACCTTGTCAACTCAATGCAGAAAAACGTTCAATGAAACCCTGAATAAAAAGGCAGGGGGAGAAAGCAAAAAAGGAAAAAAGTCAATATTATTTGAAATCCTAGTTTCTTATATCCTGGATGAAAGCAAGCTATGTTACTGTACAGTTGCAACCAGCCTTCGTAACCTGGTTCACTTGTGTACAATGTAACTTCCTCTTGGTCACATATCATTAGTGTAGGAATCTGTAAAATATATAACATCCAAAAGGTAAAAAGGATTGTATACAGTAAAATAAAATAGTAAAATCTGATGAAAAATTATAAGCCGCGTGGATTGAGTATTCTGTCTTTAGATGTCACTATTGTACTTTGCAACCGAGCCTTAAGACAGATAGACACTAAGAAAGAAATATTCACAACGTATGTCCAATAATATAAAGCAAATAATCTTAATATGATACCAAGGCTATGCTTCATTCTACATGGTAAATACATACCAAATTTGAACACTGCACCACCTATTTGGCAGTGGCAACATGATATGTTCCTAAAACTAAGACGACTCCACAAGTGGAGTGAAGATTTAACTTCATATAAGATGACCACAATGATTAATTACTTGAATTTTGGTTCCTCTATAAAATCAAGGTTCATTTCTTCGTACATGTATCATTTTTACAAGAGTCTGCAAACAAACATGTGGAACTTATCTATCGTGAGGTAAACAACTAAGAGGCACACTTGTGAGTTCTGCAGGCATATCATCATTAATATGCCCTCTGATATATGATTAATGATCTTTCCATTCATTTGTTTCCTCCTACAGCTAATGAAAAATAGCTAGGAGAAACACTTTTATGGCTTATTTCTTATTTTCTTTCTAAATTGGTTAAAATCTTAAAAAACTCCCCAACTGGAATCCTGTTCACTCTTGAACAGTACAGCGGCGACATTTCAAGATCCAACTACCAACTTGACTTTATTTACTCTATTATCCAACTGCATGTCATCTTGACATCGAGCCCACTTCCCCATAGATTTATTGTCGGCTATTTATTATTTCGTAATTAGTATAAATATCTAGTAATTTTATAAATACAACAACATAAAAAAAATCCCCCTAACTAATACCCAATTAGAAAATAATCTTTTTTATTTGTAAAGTACCCAAGTCAATGAAATTTGCCCAGTTGAAGCTTCAATTACTAAATGTTAGGAACCAAGAATATGAATGGGAAGGAAAACAAATATTTTATTGAATAGGAAGTAAATAACAAGGAATATGAGAGAAATCTATCCTCCAAGGATTTCCCCTTTTGCAATTGAGCCACTGCTCTATTCCTACAAAGGTTTACTAATCTGAATGAATGTCTCCCCTCTACCTTAATATCCTTCTATTTATAGATGTGATGGACACGAGTCTAATTAGTAACTATTCTAATTCTCTTTATTCTATATCCTAAAATTAATCATATATCAAACTTAGCCAAACATTTTCCTCCATAATTAATATGCTAAACCACATGAGCACATACTTATCATACACAAATTTCTTTTGTAAATTAGTCCAAAAAAACAAAGCAGATAAAGCAAAATGGATCAATATAAATTTAAAAAAGAAAAAGAGAGGAAGAGATGCTTTGATTTATTGACTAATGGTTCAGCAATAACTACTGACCTTATATACAGCCTCAAGCAACAGGTTGATCTAATTCTCTTATCCCAATCTGGCGTAATTGTTGCAGGTGATCAGCTATTTCCTGCAATAATTTAAGTCCTTCTCCATTGCTTGATAGGTTGACACTGTGCTTAAGGAAACTCAAGTCTGCCTCAAGAACTTGCAGCCTTCCAATAAAATCCAAAACCAAACTTCCAGTAGAAGATAAATCAATATTTCCCCACAGCACAGGGGAGTTATGTCCATTGTACCCATGTTCACCATTTTTCTCGTAAACTGTAGGTTCCTTGGATGAGGAATCATCACCAGTGGCATCTGAATTTAATTCAATTGAAGAAACAGATTCTTGCACTATAATATTATTATCCAACTTCTCACAGTTTTCTGGGGATTCTTTTTCATCATTTTCAGAATTTAGCCAATTGTCTTGACATTGATTAACATTCAGGAAAAAGTAAACTTGCTTCTCCAACTTCTTCAAACGTTGGGAAATATATAACCTTTCATCTTGAAACTCCAATGGTGAATCTTTTAGAGATTGAACATTCTGTTTTTCCAAAGACATGGGTATAACTTTAGCTTTGTCAGATATATTAGTATTTTCAGTAACTGACTTTCCAGTGATACTTTCATCCTTTTCAATGTAATGATCCAATCCAATATCTTTCACCTTCATTTCAGAGTTTGTCTCCACTAAGTTTTCGAGCTCTGATTCATCAGGGAATTTCATCCTGTAAAACTCAAGCTTAGCTTCCAACTCTTCTATCTCTTTCTCCTTCTCAACAAGAAGGTCATTAGCTTTTTGCAAAGCTTCTGATTCATACTCTGACTCCTCATCCATCATTCTTAAGTACTGCAAGGCTTCCATATGTAATGCTGCCTTTTCTTCCTGCAGCCTTGTGATCATGGCTAATGCGTGATTTGCAGCAACTGCAGAAGCATTTCTTTCTTCCTCCAGCTCTTTATACAAAGCATTCATAAGTTTCCTGTCATGATCAACTTGTCTTTTTAGCCTGTCAACTGCGCTTTCACCTTCAATTTCACTGACAATGCTTCCATCCAGAGACAAACCAGATTCATTTCGCTCAAGTGAAATCATTTTTTGAAGTATCTGCATTCCAGCAGAGTTAGAAACATCAGAAGTCTTCACTTCATCACTGTTTATAGACAATCTAGGACTGATATCGTTAACAGACAGATCAGTCCCTCTAGTAACTGAAAATTGTGACAGCAATATCTTCAAATCTTCACTAATTTTTGTACAATCTTTTCCAAGCCAATGTTCTACAAGCATGCCAGACATCTGTCTTCCTCTGTTACTGACAGCTAGCTTATAGGCATCACCAAGATCTAGCAAATTCGGATTTTGCTGACCAATATCACTAGAAAAGGGGTTTGATTCTAAACCTGCTTCAGATGTTGTCGGCTTATCAACTGACTCAATTATTTCAACAGAGTCCGTGGTCATTCTTTGCTTAGATTTTATCCCCACTTCATCAGTTGTCAGATTATCTAATAAAATAATGGACAACAGGTATATTGTCAGTACAAAAAAGCTCATGGTACTTGAGGAGTTAAAATAGTGAAAAAATTAGGAGCCTTTTTTGTTTGAAAAAATATTTACTGCTTTCATAAATAATTACTGAAATATCATCTTGTTTTTACTTTATTTACTGTAATGATTTATGAAATTAGTAAATATTTTCTCAAACCAAAAAGGCAGACTTATAATGGTTTATGAAAATAAGTGTTGCATGGTATATAAAAGCAACTGCAAAAAATAACTTACAGTTTTCCTTTGATACTTGAGCAGGAACTCCTATTTTATTTGATAATGCAGGGACTTCATTAAAGGAAATAGGCTCACTTGGGGAAGGACAAACAACATTTCTCTCAACCTGCTGCTGAGAATCAAGTTCGGCCAAACCATTCCTACTTTCCAATGGTGCTGCTGTAGAATTAGTACCGTGAATCTCTGTATTTTCTAATTGCATTCCTGACTCTGATAACAACAGCTGAAGTCCAGAAGCTGAAGTCCTGAGCTTCTCTGAAACCAAATTCTCATTTAAATCAAGGATGCAGGGCTCCACATGTTCACATGGAACTTCTATATCTTCCTTGGTGTCATCTGTTCCCCGAACTGGTATGCTTGTACCATCATCATCAGATAAGGAAACTTCTGCTTCAGACTCAGTATCAGAAGTAACCTTTAGCTCAGTGTAACCTACATGAGACAAAGGATCCACCTGTTTATTTCTAAGGCGTGCAGCTCTGGTTGATGCAAATGGTTTTGCTCTTCTTTTCCTATGAAAATTGTTTCCAGCAACATTTGATGTATCAAAATCAGCAGCACCAGACCCAATTGACTTGGTAAATGCCAACCTTTGATCGTAACCTTTTAAAACCCATTGCTCATTACAACAAGAACAACATTTTGCAATCTCGTTTTCACCCAGTAACGGGTCCTGATCAAATCTGGACTCAGATCCCTCCCCCACTTTACCCACCAATAACCGGTAAGTTTCAGCATTGGATCTATTGATGGTAGCAAAAGAGAAGAGGCAACTTTCACACATTCCTTGAACATTTACAAGCTTATCATGTGCCCGGCAAAGGACTAAAGAAGAAATCTCCATCTTATGATTACTACAGATCAAGTCCCAATAATATCCTCTTTTCTCCTCGCCTAACACATGATCAAGCCTCGAGCAGAACAGGCAAGGTATTTGCAATTTGCAGTAACCAGCAAACTTTGTTATAACATAAGAAAAACCAGCATCAATAAACAGGAAAAAGATCAGCAACCATTCGAGAAAAGCCGATGCCAACGACGTGGCAACACTTGGGGAGAACTTACGCCACCCGGAAGACGAGATTCCTGAAGTAGCCATCACATACCCAACTCAAGTGGCTTCAAAATTAGAAAACCGATTGCTCCAAACTTGAAACAGATCAAACTTTGACCTTCTTCCCGTGATGATATAAATAATTCAAGGCAAAAGGTTGAAACTGAAATACATCCAGGAAGGGAAAAAAAAATCATAATCAGAATTATTGTTTATCTATGAACTATCCTCAGCCAATAATTTGAAATTTCATCAAAAACATTATTGACAGTGTTGGGGAGAGGGTGGAAGTGCATAAACACGATGCTTAAAACAAGATCAAGCATTGAAACTGAAGCAAGAAGTTCGAACAACTATGAATTTAATTTGATTAATATCCTAATCTTAAACAAATGAATCCATACCAAGAAAATCGTGATGCACTATAAAGTTTCAGGTAAAAGAAAGAGAAATAAAGTGAAACGTAAATGTTATTCCTGCCAATATCATCAGCAGCAAGTGATGAAACGTAATCGAGATTTTTTAAGCATAAGATGAGTTAAAGAAGTGAATAAAATTTAGAGAATGAAATAAAGAAGGGAGTAATTAGTTAACAGTGATGAGTAATGAGTTATTTAAAGGAAGTGAAAGCAATAATAGAAATAGATGAAGTGAAATACCTTATGCTATGATGATTATATTATATGATACGATATGATGCGAATGTTGAGAGAGAATATAAGGCGTTATTAGAATAGAATAGCTGGAGAAGTGGTACGAAGGTGAGAGACCGATCCACACAACAAAGTAAACCCAACCGAAAGCTTCAACTTTCCAACGGAAATCCACGCAGTATTCACATTAACTTTTTTTTTTTTTTTTTGCGGAAAATAAAAGAAAAAGATAAGAAGCCGACAAGAACAAAAAGGTCTTGTGAGTGATGAGTAAGGGAAAATCAATTTTTTTTTTTAGGTTCGTTCCTCGTATTCACCGCTGACAGCAGTGACTAATTTCCTTGCTACTAATTTCCTTGCTACTAGGGAGGCATCTCAAAGGATGGAATAACTGGCCCCAAGATTTAACGCGACTGCATACACAAGGCAGGATTCGAACCCCTGACCTTGCTTAAACGTGGATCAACCCCTACCGCTGAACCACACGCTTAGAGTTTTTGGGGGAAAATCAATTTGATCACAAACAATTATGTATTATCAAATCGATAAATGTATTATGTAATGTGTCATTAAATTACGGTATTAAACTTAATTAGCTAATAGAATAAAATATTTTAAACTAACAATGGATATCCATTTAACTCTTAAAACTAAAAAGTATTTTAAGCAACGCGCACTAAACTTTTATCATTCAATGTCAGTAAACATTCCAAAAACTAGTATAGTTGCCGTTGTCATATTAAAATTATTACCTTGACTGATATATGATAATTAAACTTTTCTATTGTATAAAACTGGCCAAATAATGATATAAATTTAATTTTATTATATTATTTCAATTAAAAAGTTATTCATTATCGAGAATAAAATTAAAAATATTATCCTAATTTTTAAGATGATAGATGATCTAAAATAAATTAAAATATCAAATTTTATAATTATTTAAAATATATAGCTACTAAATTTCAAAATTTGACCAAGTAGTTATTTATTTCACTCTCTATGATTTTACATTTAACAGGTTTAATAATTAATTTTATCATATATTTCAATTCAATAAGTTAATATATTAACTTTGATATTTTAATTAATTTTATTATGATTATCAATTAATTAAATTGCTAAAAAAATTTAAAATGCCATATTAATTCTTACAATTACTAAATTACGGTTAATATTTTAATTTTTTTATTAATATATAATTTTTAAGAATTGTTTATTAATAATAAAACTTGTTGACATTATAAATATTAACATTTTGCACAGCATAATACTAAATTTATGTTAATAATTTTTTGTTTTGATAATCTTATTTTAACCTATCTTATAAACAATCTTACCGTAAATGTTACTACCTGAAACAAAATTACATTTCATGTAGATTGATATATTTGATTTTAAACTAGATATACTTTTTTCGGTCACTAATTTAACCTATAGAAATAAATATGTTGACATATTTTTTTTAAAATTTTATCTTTGAAGTATTAATTTAATGATTTTTTTATAGAAATAATACGATAATACTATAATAGTAATATTATTATTATTATAATGTGACAAACTTTAGCAAAAAAGCACAACTAATGGTCGGTTGAAAAGTTGAAAATGACCAATGCAAGATAGAAATGTCGGCTAGTATGGTGTGGTGTGGTGGGCGTGATCTTAAGCACAGTTCTATTTCCAATCAAATAATGCCATTCGCCCTTTTATTTGAAACATGATTGTTGAAATATAATCAATAAATATAATTTAAATAGAAATTGTAAATAGATAAATAATATAGTATTTTTACTTTCTTTTTTTTCATTCATCAAACTTATGATAATAGCAATAGAATTCAAATATATGATAAAAGATTTTTTTTTTAAATTATCAATAATATATTTAAAAATTAATATACTGAGACAATTATTTAGTATCATTTTTTTATCATTAAATTGATTGATTTTATGTGAAAATATTTGACAAATTTTTTAACAAAATTTAAATATAAGAATTAAAGTAAAAAAATTTAAAATATAAAAATTTTAAAAAAATAATTTTAAATTTAAAAGATTAAAAATAATTTTGCTTTAAATTTAAAATACTAAAAAATATATTTAATCCGTTAAAAAATTGACAAATCTTCTCATTGAAAAGCATGTAGTCAGCAATAAACCAATGTAGCTTAGAAATTAAAAAAGTGTCACACATTTTCGCAAATCAATGAAAAAATAACAAGGGCGAGCATGAAATAGAAAAACATTCATTTCAAAATAAATCACTAATAAATTGTTTACTTATGAACTCATTTGGATTCGATTGATTTAATGAAAAGAAAACTACCAATTTTTTATTGACTTAATTGATTAAATAAAAAATTGAATTAATTATTAAATTTAAATTTTATTTTAAAACATTATTATTTTTTTATTAGTAGAAATAAAGACATTTCGTGTCTTATTTAAATACACATATTATTAAAATAAAGTATAATTATTATTATTAACGAAATTGATATATTTCGGATTTTTATTAAAAATAAAATTAAAAAATAAGGTTTAATAATAAAAATATGTTGGTTTAACTGTGTTATAATTTGTTCATAAATTTTAAGATTTTGGACTCAAATCTTAAATTTGATAAAAATATTAGTTTTTAATAATAAAATAATATAATAATCTATTAAACATGAAAATTAAGGTGATTATTAAAAAATATATTCTCTTTATATATTAGTATAGATATAATAATAATTTTTTCAAGATTAAAAGACTTTTATAATTTTTATCTATTATTGTTATGCAATTTTTTATTTTAAAAGTTAAAACTGTAAAAAATATTATGTATACAAAAATAAAAAAATATATTTTGTGTATAGATATAGATATATTTTCTCTTTATTTCTTTTTTATACTTCTTCTAAATTAAATGCTTTTATTTTCAATTTCTTTTTCTGTTTTCTATTTCTCTCTTTTACATTTCTATATATATATATTTTAAAACTTTGAAACCATTCATTGGAAAATATCTGTATAAATGATTACAAGTCATATCACCATCAAATACCAAAAATGGTATAATTGAATGAGTGGTGACTGTAGAATGTAGTTATGCAGAATGGCGGAAGTGCAGATTCCTCGAGTGAAACTTGGAACTCAAGGCCTCGAGGTATTGAATCTATTCATATTAACCCTATCTATAGTCCTATTCCTCATTCAACTAATTTATCTTATTCTAGTGCATTATTTTGAGAAAATTTCCATATCTGAATAGGTTTCAAAGTTGGGGTTTGGGTGCATGAGCCTTAGTGGAGTCTATAACGACCCTCTTCCGGAAGAGGAAGGCATATCAGTTATTAAGCATGCATTCAACCAAGGAATCACTTTCTTTGACACTGCTGATGTTTATGGGGCCAATGCTAACGAACTTTTGCTCGGAAAAGTAACCTACTCTTTCCACCCTTATATATAATGCTATAATTAATGTACACGACTTTTATCATTTTCTTGTAACTCATTATAAATATGTATTACTTTTATCTTTTTTAATGGATCAGTGGATGAGTTACTTACGTTGCAGAGTGTTTCACTATTTGATTCTATTGAACAGGCTTTAAAGCAGTTACCTAGAGAAAAGGTGCAGGTAGCAACGAAATTTGGGCTTTCAGGATTAAGTTTTCCTAAAATACAAGTCAATGGCACACCAGAATACGTGCGATCATGTTGTGAAGCTAGCTTGAAACGCCTTCACGTTGAATACATTGATCTTTATTATCAGCACAGGGTGGACCAAACAGTACCCATTGAGGAAACAGTTGGGGATTACTTCTTCAAATGCACCTTTAAATGCCTTAAAACTTATTATTAAGTTATTATATACTTGTTACTTTTTATTACATATTATTAATAAGTTTGTAATGATATAGGTAGGTGAACTGAAAAAACTGGTGGAAGAGGGAAAAGTGAGGTATATAGGGTTATCTGAAGCCAGTCCAGATACAATAAGAAGAGCACATGCAGTTCATCCCATCACTGCTCTACAATTAGAGTGGTCCCTTTGGACTCGTGACATTGAGGACGAGATAGTTCCTCTCTGCAGGTTAGTTCAAGTTCTTCTCCAAGTTCATAGGAATGTACAACTTTCATAATTGTTTCTTAACTAAAATAAATAAATAATTTGATCATCTCTTTAAGTGTATTTGTTTCATGAAAATTGATTCTAAAAAATATTGAGTTAAAAATGTCATATTCTCATATTTGTTTAGAGTTTTAAAAAAATATTTTTGAATATAATTTATTTTCGAAAAAGTAGTCATAACATAATTCATTTCATTTTGATTCTTAGAATGAAGAATGAAAATGTTATATTTACATAAGAATGTAGAAAGTTATATTTTAACCCACTTATTCAACTCATCTTCTTATTTTAAATTAATTAAAAATTTATAAATATTTTCAAAGAATGTTAAAATCCCACTAAACACATTTTAATAAGAAATGTGATTTTTGAAAAAGTAGTAACATACCTCAAAACCAATGTTCCATTTAATCATGAGCTACATGAAAAGAGTGTAGAAAAATAAAAATGGAAAAATGTTCTGATTGCTAATGTTATGTGGTTTATGTTATAATGAAGTACTTACTTAAAGCTTTTATTGCTAATGCCAGGGAGCTTGGCATTGGAATTGTACCATATAGCCCTCTTGGTAGAGGATTTTTTGGTGGCAAAGGAGTTCTGGAAAAAGTGCCTGCAAATAGTATCCTGGTACAACGTTTTAGCAGTTACTTGGGTGTTTCTGCTGCATATTGTAGAATTTTTGGATGTGAAAAATAGCAGATAATGACAATCAATGCTTCATCTTGAACCCAAATTACATGTTGAGAAAATGTGTTCCCTTATTTTATATATAATTACACAATATGGATGCATTCATCAAATTTCAAACACTGTGTGTGTGTTACAAACAAAGTAATGATGAAAAGTATTTCAACCATGTTATTTTTCCATTTCACTTATCAGACTGCACATCATCCCCGCTTCCAAGCAGAAAACATAGAGAAGAACAAGAATATATATTACCAATTAGAAAGTCTTGCTAAGAAACACCAGTGCGCTCCTCCCCAGTTAGCATTAGCATGGGTTCTCCACCAAGGAAACGATGTTGTTCCTATTCCTGGTGAGTCACCGAATATCTTTTCTTCAACCAAGGACAAATTATCTATCTATATAATATATATATATATAAGATCTTTGCTACTAATTTCCTTGCTACTAGGGAGGCATCTCAAAGGATGGAATAACTGGCCCCAAGATTTAACGCGACTGCATACACAAGGCAGGATTCGAACCCCTGACCTTGCTTAAACGTGGATCAACCCCTACCGCTGAACCACACGCTTAGAGTTTTTGGGGGAAAATCAATTTGATCACAAACAATTATGTATTATCAAATCGATAAATGTATTATGTAATGTGTCATTAAATTACGGTATTAAACTTAATTAGCTAATAGAATAAAATATTTTAAACTAACAATGGATATCCATTTAACTCTTAAAACTAAAAAGTATTTTAAGCAACGCGCACTAAACTTTTATCATTCAATGTCAGTAAACATTCCAAAAACTAGTATAGTTGCCGTTGTCATATTAAAATTATTACCTTGACTGATATATGATAATTAAACTTTTCTATTGTATAAAACTGGCCAAATAATGATATAAATTTAATTTTATTATATTATTTCAATTAAAAAGTTATTCATTATCGAGAATAAAATTAAAAATATTATCCTAATTTTTAAGATGATAGATGATCTAAAATAAATTAAAATATCAAATTTTATAATTATTTAAAATATATAGCTACTAAATTTCAAAATTTGACCAAGTAGTTATTTATTTCACTCTCTATGATTTTACATTTAACAGGTTTAATAATTAATTTTATCATATATTTCAATTCAATAAGTTAATATATTAACTTTGATATTTTAATTAATTTTATTATGATTATCAATTAATTAAATTGCTAAAAAAATTTAAAATGCCATATTAATTCTTACAATTACTAAATTACGGTTAATATTTTAATTTTTTTATTAATATATAATTTTTAAGAATTGTTTATTAATAATAAAACTTGTTGACATTATAAATATTAACATTTTGCACAGCATAATACTAAATTTATGTTAATAATTTTTTGTTTTGATAATCTTATTTTAACCTATCTTATAAACAATCTTACCGTAAATGTTACTACCTGAAACAAAATTACATTTCATGTAGATTGATATATTTGATTTTAAACTAGATATACTTTTTTCGGTCACTAATTTAACCTATAGAAATAAATATGTTGACATATTTTTTTTAAAATTTTATCTTTGAAGTATTAATTTAATGATTTTTTTATAGAAATAATACGATAATACTATAATAGTAATATTATTATTATTATAATGTGACAAACTTTAGCAAAAAAGCACAACTAATGGTCGGTTGAAAAGTTGAAAATGACCAATGCAAGATAGAAATGTCGGCTAGTATGGTGTGGTGTGGTGGGCGTGATCTTAAGCACAGTTCTATTTCCAATCAAATAATGCCATTCGCCCTTTTATTTGAAACATGATTGTTGAAATATAATCAATAAATATAATTTAAATAGAAATTGTAAATAGATAAATAATATAGTATTTTTACTTTCTTTTTTTTCATTCATCAAACTTATGATAATAGCAATAGAATTCAAATATATGATAAAAGATTTTTTTTTTAAATTATCAATAATATATTTAAAAATTAATATACTGAGACAATTATTTAGTATCATTTTTTTATCATTAAATTGATTGATTTTATGTGAAAATATTTGACAAATTTTTTAACAAAATTTAAATATAAGAATTAAAGTAAAAAAATTTAAAATATAAAAATTTTAAAAAAATAATTTTAAATTTAAAAGATTAAAAATAATTTTGCTTTAAATTTAAAATACTAAAAAATATATTTAATCCGTTAAAAAATTGACAAATCTTCTCATTGAAAAGCATGTAGTCAGCAATAAACCAATGTAGCTTAGAAATTAAAAAAGTGTCACACATTTTCGCAAATCAATGAAAAAATAACAAGGGCGAGCATGAAATAGAAAAACATTCATTTCAAAATAAATCACTAATAAATTGTTTACTTATGAACTCATTTGGATTCGATTGATTTAATGAAAAGAAAACTACCAATTTTTTATTGACTTAATTGATTAAATAAAAAATTGAATTAATTATTAAATTTAAATTTTATTTTAAAACATTATTATTTTTTTATTAGTAGAAATAAAGACATATAACTAAATTGTCTCAGTTCGCGAGTGATTAACTAATTAATCAACTACTAATTTTGAGTGGACCTTTACAGGAACAACCAAGATTAAGAACCTGGATCAAAACATCGGTGCACTATCAATGAAATTTACAGAAAATGACTCGAGAGAAATTTCTGAGGCAGTTCCCATAAATGATGTTGCAGGGACTCGACACTTCAGTGGAAATGATAAAATTTCTTGGAAATGTGCCTACACTCCTCCAAAAAATTCAAGGGTCTAACTTGAAATCCTTTTCAGTCGGATAATTCACTGATTTGTGAACCTTCAAGTGTTTGATGATGCTAAAGATAGTTCGATTGTAAGCTACCGATGTATTATGCATATGATGTGAATAAGTATATTTGTAAACTTGAATGGTTATTTTTGTTTTCTTGGTTCTGGAATATGTAACTTAAGATATGCATAATAATAGTCCAAGTTAACTTTGGACTCTTGATGGTTGGTTAATAGATGTTTGGTTGGTTAAAGTTTTTAATTTTAAACTAGTACGTGGGTATATATATATATATATATATTTTGGTTACAGTGCGTGGATATATTGTACCAAAATTTATAAGTATAGATTAAAAGAGAATGCCACTAAATTTTATTATAAAGAAAAGCAAATAAAGATTTAAAAAATGAAAATTAAAGTAATAATAAAAAATAAATTGTGTAATCGGTTTCATGTGTCTTAAAATATAAATATAATTAAATGACTAAAGTCAACCTATTAGTGGGGGTAAGTAGTATACATAATATCATAAGTCTTAACTTTATTAGTCATTATTATCATTGTAAAAAAAAAATACAAATGTTGGTAGAAGAAATAATGTTAATAAATTCAAGTAAAAATGACAAGTGAAATTCAAATAAAACGTATACTAGAAAAAGTATAAAAAAAAGTAAAATAATGAATATAAAAAATTAGGGATGAATATAGTTCAATTTAACTCTCAAATCTGATATGACCCAAATTTGATTTGAACGGGTTTGAATTTTGAAATTAAATATGATGTATTATTAAGACGAGTTTAAGTTATTTGACTTAATTTGAAATATAATATTTTTCTTATAGAATATAATTTTTTTTTGAAATATTGTACATTAATATTAAAAATTTAGCAATACTTTATAATATTATATTTATAATATAATTATTTATTTTAAAATATGTATTATAAATTATCTTAATTTAATTTTTTATTTGTTTTATTTTATAATTTAATTATACATAATATTAAGATTAATATAATATAACAAAGCCAAATTAATCCAACCTCATTCATATATGTTTTAGTTTTTGATCAAGTTAAATTTAAACTCTAAAACATGATACATAAAAAAAAATTGGATTGAATTTGAACCAACATAAATTCAATATAACCTAACCCATATTAAAAAAAAACGATGAAACATTTAGTTTCAATATTATTAAAATGGACAACTTGTTTCACATTTAATGTTACATGCCTTACATGTGTAACTAAATTTTAGTCTACATAATTATTATCAATATAAAATTCAAAATAATAATTTAAAATATCTTTTATGGATGTTCATAAAATTTATTTTTTATACGAGTTAATTAAATAATTATTACTATGTCAAAAAATTAAATATAATAATTATTACTATGTCAAAAAATTAAATATAAGAGAATTATATAACAAAATTTAATTTATAATAATACTTTTGACAACAAAAATAACTTTAATTAATGTATTTCTCTTTGTTTAATAAATTATTAGTAAAATAAGAGTCTCATATTTGAGATATGGATGTTAAAGGGGTGAGGTAGATATAGGTAATAGCTCGACTATCTATATTGTCTAATAAATATTCGTTTTGTATTTATCTCATATTTATAACGATACTTGTTGAGTGAATAATTGTAATTTTTTTAATATTCATAAGTTTTTATTAAAAAAACATATTAATGATTTCTAATTATTTTAAAATAATAATTTGAAAGTTAAAATTTAAATTATTAAAATATTATACATAATTTTATTAATCAAGATTCTTCAATTTAAAAATTAATTTAAAATACTACAATCTCATAAATTTAAATAAATTTAATAAGCTAAAATGTATCTATTTAAATTATCCATATATATTTATTTATTATTAGTTGTGAATTTTATCTACAAATATATGCAACTATCCCTAGTTATTTGTTTTAAAAAAAACCTTACAAATTTTAAAACAAAATTAATATTATCAACTAATTTTTTAATTATTATAAAATAAGAATATAAAAAATATTCTAAAAAATATATTGAATTAAATAATGGGTCTTAAAAAAGAATAACAAGGGCAAAATAAATTGACGTAGGAAAGTGAAAACGTAATTAGTGTTGAAAACATGGCCCACGTTGACACAATGAAACGAAGCGAAAGAGTAAAGAAGAAATAATATCCATATGGCTGCAAGGGGGGGACACAGAATTGAAAGAGGTGCAATCGGCAACCAAAATGGCCGCAATAGAGAGTGCAAGAGTTAAACTTGGAACCCAAGGCTTTGAGGTAACCAAACTACATTAGTCTCTTTAATTTTTTACACTACTAATACACGTCTTGTTTTTCTATGTACAGGTTTCAAAATTGGGATTCGGATGTCTGGGCCTTACTGGAGCCTACAATGACCCTCTCCCAGAACAGGATGCCGTATCTATTATCAACTATGCATTCACCAAAGGAATAACATTTTTTGATACATCTGATGTTTATGGAGCCACCGCTAATGAAGTTTTGCTTGGAAAGGTACAAACCGTTTCTTTTCTGCTAATTTTAATGCTTGTGTATGTGTAGTTAGAAATAGTGAGCACATAAATGAATTTGACATCACAATATAACCTAAAACCTTAAGATTACTGGGTGTACTAGTACTACTTAATATGTTCAACTATAACCAAGGTGGGGCTCATTTCACACTTGAATTTCAACATTTTTGTATCCTTTTAGTTTTAAGGAAGGATTTTTTTAATTGAAATGCTTATATACGAAAAAGATAAATATAGGGTGTTACATGTGTTTGTCAATTATTTGATGTTGGAGTAATGGAACTTTGTCGATGTCATGTCAATATATTGAGTTTGTCGTTCTTTGATTCTGTTGACTAGGCTTTGAAGCAGCTACCTAGAGAACAGGTCCAGCTAGCCACAAAATTTGGTATTGCGAGATTAGATTTTTCTAATATGCACATCAAGGGTTCGCCTGAATATGTGCGCTCATGCTGTGAAGCTAGTTTGAAGCGTCTTGGTGTTGAATACATTGATCTCTATTATCAGCATAGAGTGGACACATCTATACCTATAGAGGAAACAGTTAAGGAAACCTATCTATGATTTTGATCAATGATCATAGTACACATTATATACCTGTGAATTTTTACTATATGATGATATTATCTGGCATATCTCACTAGATAAGTAGATTGTAGATATATTAGTAATAAGTTTGTTATATTATAGGTGGGTGAACTTAAGAAACTGGTGGAAGAGGGCAAAGTGAGGTATATTGGGTTATCTGAAGCCAGCCCAGATACAATTAGCAGAGCACACGCAGTTCATCCCATCACAGCTGTGCAAATAGAGTGGTCTCTATGGACTCGTGACATTGAGGAGGAGGTAGTTCCTCTGTGCAGGTTAGTTCAAGTTCTTCTTGAAGTTCATGACAGTGCAATTCTACTTGAAAGGAGGGTCAAGAAAAGTGGAGTTTCTGTTGGCTGTATTTGTGTAAGCTCAACTTCACTTTTTTAATGCTTTATTGATACAGGGAACTTGGTATTGGAATTGTACCATATAGTCCTCTTGGTCGTGGCTTTTTTGGCGGCAAAGGAGTTGTGGAAAATGTTCCTGCAACAAGCTCCCTGGTATAGCATTTTAGCATTTACATGTGTCATGTACTATTTCTGCTGCTTACATTGTTAACATGTGGCAATTATCAAATAACAGTGGTCAATTTAAATCTTTAATTAAATATAATTAAATATTGGTTGGTTTGTTGTCTATTATTTAGTTACAAATACTTGTGTATTTAAGCTGAAGTATGCCAACTTTATTTGCTTTTCTCACATAAAAGAGTATAAAAATCATACATTTTTCTTTTGGAAAAATATGTTTTTTTTCTGATGGTTATTTCACTTATCAGAAAGTACATCCACGTTTCCAAGCCGAGAACATGAACAAGAATAAGAATATATATGATCGAATTGAAACCCTTGCTAAGAAGCATAAGGCCACTCCTGCCCAGTTGGCATTAGCATGGGTACTCCAGCAAGGCGAGGATGTTGTACCTATTCCTGGTGAGTGACAATATCTCTTTGAGATACTCTGAGCTAGGATCCTAAGTATCATGAATATGGTATTTTTTTTTTTATTCTTATTATTTGTCAATCTGATCAAATTATTATACACAGTATATTTTAGTCATGTAATTTGTGCACTGGTCAAATAAGTGAAGAACTATACACCTTGGTCTAGGGTGTATGGGCAGTATAGTTCTGCATTCCATGTGTTCCCTAAATCATAAATTATCTTATGATTCCAAAATCTTATAGAAATTTTTGTATTTACTTTTTTTCTTTTTAGAGCAAAGTGCCTAATTACTTCCCTTAATTTCTATGCGTCTTTACAGGAACAACCAAGATTAAGAACCTGGATCAAAACCTAGGTGCGTTAGCAGTGAAATTGTCAGAAAGGGACCTGAGAGAAGTTTCTGAGGCGGTTCCCATTGATGATGTAGCAGGTGGTATACACTACTTTGGACTGGAACACTTTACCTGGAAGTTTGCTAACACACCTCAAAAAGATTCAAGGGTTTCAACCTGAACCACTCAACTTTTCAGTTAGAGATTCTATTAAGTCATGAATTGAGGGTAACAAGGTTGACAGAGGCTAATATCAGGAAGCTACCGATACATGCTGTAGATAGTAGATGTGCAGAGAATATTACTCCTTCTGTTTTTTATTCATAGTCGTTTAAGGTTTTGCACGGGATTTAAGAAAATGATTGATATTTTAGTTTTCAAAAATATTTATTACTTACTTTTCTATTCTACCCTCTATTTTTTTATAGTATTTCGTTGGAAACATATTACTCTTTTAAATATAACATTAACTTCACATAGGTGGTTGGAGAAAAAATAAGTAAACATTAGAAATAAATAGACACATTGTTCAGTAAACATACATTAATTATCAGGGATAAAAATGAGAAAAAAATTAATAAATCATTGATTTTAGTAAAATAACAATGAAAAAAATGATAAATTTTGACAAAACGACTATGAATAAAAAATAAAGGGAGTATTAAATCTCGGAACAAAAACAAGTTCCAGTACACATGGTAGATAGTAGGGTTCTCTTAAGCATGGGATAGGTTCAATTCTTGACTTTGTTAATGGAGACGAGTTTGATTTTAGATATTTGGTTGGTTAAAGATTTTAATTTATACTGCAATATAGTTTTTATGATGCAACAAATCTATTTTCTATGTAAATTATAGTATCTAGTTTGGAGGATGAGTTTCTCACTTTTTTTTTTAATACCTTTTTCTTTCTCTCAATTAGTTCCATGTCTAATACAAGCGTATAAGATTCTTTTTAAACTTTTCTACTAAATATAAATCAAAGCTTATATTCAAATAAGTTCTATATAAATTACATACAAATTACGTTACTTACGTTTTTATTTTCTCCTTTTTTTTTATAAGCTTTTCTCGTTTTATCATTTCATTACATTACTCATTTTATAGTTCACATCTCTCGTTTGGAGTAATATAGTTGGATGATTATTTCAAGACGTTTCTACTTTCTAGAAGGAATAAGGACTCTTTTTCTTTCTCCGACGTTTGCAATGAGCTAATCACCACATTTTGTCTAATGTTTTTTTTTTTTTCTTGAGGGTACACTGTCTTTACGCGTGCTTAGTTCGCTCGATCTGGATCGACAGATTTATGAAATTTTTCTTTATTTAAATTTTAAATTTTGAATAAATTTTAGATAAGATATTTGTTATTATTACAGTTTTATTTATTATATTTTATTTTCAGTTATTCAATATAATCTCAACAAGTAGAGTTGTTAGTAAATGAGATTTGTTAAGAATTTTAAATTGATTGTAAGTTTATACAAAGACATCCTCTTTTATGAATTTTAATGGTAATTTGATGATAGTTTTCCATCTTCAATTTTAATTTTAATTTGCCTGCAAGATCCAATTTTTCTATATTATATTTCTAACAAGTAGTATCAAGAGTTTGCTTCTTACGGGCTGTGAGAAAAAAGTTTATTGAGCGCTAAACACATTGAGGTTGAGTGCAAACACTAAATTAAGTGATTTATTATTCAAACAATTTTTGGTGCAAGGATGTCTACTTCCACCTATTCACCAACAATTCCAATGTTTAATGGTGAAAATTATCATATTTGGGTCGTTAAGATGAAATTTGTTTTAAGATCTCAAGGTTTATGGAATGTTGTAATTTCTGAAGCTGATCTACCACCATTGAGAGAAAATCCAACCATTGCACAAATCAAAGCTTATGAGGAGGAGAAACTGAAGAAAGATAAAGTTATCACTTGCCTACATGCAGGACTTGCAGATCATATTTATACTAAAATCATGGACTTAGAAACACTTAAACAAGTGTGGAACAAGATTCAAGATGAATTTGAAGGCAGTAACGGAGTCAAATCTGTTAGGCTTCTCATATTGAAGAGAAAATTTGAATTGATGAAGATGAAGGATAATGAATCTGTTAAAGATTATTCTGGCAGATTAATAGATGTTGTGAACCAAATGCGACTTCTTGGTGAAATATCATTTACAAATCAAAAGGTTGTCGAAAAAATCATGGTTTCAGTGCCCGAAAGATTTGAAGCCAAGATTTCTGCAATTGAAGAGTCTTGTGATTTGCAAACTCTCACAATTACTGAATTGACCAGCAAGTTTCACGCACAAGAGCAAAGAGTCTCCATTAGAAGTGATGAAGTTGTTGAAGGTGCCTTTCGAGCAAAGCACAATGGAAGGAATTTTGGAAAGTCACGAACTTTCAATAAGAACAAAGGAAAAGATGAAGGTTCTTCAAAAAAAGGAAATTTTTTGCCTTGTTTTCATTGTCAAAGAACCAACCATTCTAAAGAAGATTGTTGGTTTAAAGATAAACCACTTTTTCACTGTAATTTTTGCAATAAAAATGGTCATAGTGAAAAGTATTGCAGATTAAAGAAGAATCAGCCTGAACAACAACGCATTGTACACCATTATACTGAATTGGTACTAAGAGGGAAGAAGACTGATCACCTTATCACCTTCCTTCTCATCTTGGTTAAGTGAAGTATTATGGCATGCAACTCATTATTCCAAGCATATGTATCTAAAAGTGATGTTTGTTTGTGTGTTGATACATGTTGCATTTCATATGGTGTTGGGTTGTGGATATTGTAATAGAAAGGAATAGAACAGGTAGGAGATTGAAGGATAGGAACATAAGATAAATTTGGTCTTTCTGAGTGAATTTGAAGTTGTTTTAGAGCTTAGGGAGTTGAAATACTTCAAGGAATAGGATATTTGAGGTGAATAGGTGCTAAGGGTGAAATTTGAAAAATTTGGAAAAAGCTATATATGGGGACTTAGGACCAGAAGGTCTCATTTGTCAGACAGGGACAATTCTAGAGAGAGAAAGTAGAGAGATGGGCTCTGGTCCGGAGGGAAGCTGAGGACACATTTGGGAAGCTTATCAAGCCAGGATCAATCTTTACAACTAGAGTTTCAAGAGATTCAACCTTTAAAGCCTTGAAAAGTGAGATTGAAGTTTGAATTGGGAATTTGAGGGTTTTATTCAAATCTTGTATTTCTGAAGTTTCTGAGGTAAGGGTAGTACTTATAAGACTTAATCTAATATGTATGGAGTTGAAATATCACATTGATTCCATGTTTTACGCATGATTGAGGTTGGATTGAGCTGGAAAGGGTTTGGTTAGGGTTCTTATGTGTGTTTGGTTTGGAAAGCTAATAGGACTTAGAGGAGTAAGGTTATGGTATGAATTGGAATATCTCTTAGTGAGATTTGGATATAATCTTTGGAAAAATATGGAATTTGGGAGTCTCATGGTGAGGATTCCAATATGGAACTTTTCCAAAGATTATATAATAAACCACTTCAGATGTTAGGTGGATTCTGAAGTACTCCTCTAAGTATTCTATTTGCTACCGGTATGGGGGCAAGGCCGAGTCATACAGATGGATGAAGTGGCCACGATTACCAGGTTTACGTGACGACGTAATCCAACTGTATATTTTCCATGAGATGTTAGGTGTGTGACATGAGCAGGTGACATGTTCACGAATTCAACATTGGTTTGGATGTGTTGAGGTTAACATTTGGTTTGGATGTGTTGGCTACTTCATGGGATTATACAGTGGTGTGACTTTAGTTTGGATGTGGAATATGTATATATTTGGTATGGATTGTATACATTGGTTATGGATTCTTTATTATCATAAAATATGCATGCATTGGCATGGATGTGTATACATTGGGTTTTGGATTGGTTTATATTTGGCATGGAAATGACTTGTTATAATGTTGTCATTCCCTTGGTATGGATACATACTGTTGATGAATATCTAGTTTAATGATATTTCATTTTATTGTACTATGGTTGGTTTTATACATGTTAACCCTTATATTTCCATGATATGGACTGTGATGATCTCACTATATGGGGGAGCAGATCAGGTGTGAGGCTTTGAGATAGCAAGGAGTCTTTTGGTAGCTGCTTTGAGAAGTGGCTAGGCTTAAAGCTTGACCAACACCTAGGATGTCTTATTTTGATGTCTTCATGACGTTGTATATTCATTATCTTTTTGGATGATTGTATAACCTTATGAATGATGACTCTTTTATAAAATTGTTTTATATTATGAAAATAATTTATACGTTATTCTATATTTACACTCTAGTGTAGCTGACCTTTGCTCTATTTTCTTTATTATATATTATTTTATTTTATTTGTCATATTGGTTATTGATGTGACGGCCTACAACGGGTCGTTACATTGAGAAAAGCATAATGGAAAGAATTTTGAAAAGTCACGAACTTTCAATAAGAACAAAGGAAAAGACGAAGGTTCTTCAAAAAAAAGGAAATTTTTTGCCTTGTTTTCATTGCCAAAGAACCAATCTTTCTAAAGAAGATTGTTGGTTTATAGATAAACCACTTTTTCATTGTAATTTTTGCAATAAAAATGGTCACAGTGAAAAAAGTATTGCAGATTAAAGAAGAATCAACTTGAACAACAATTAAAAAAATAGGCAAATGTGATTGAAGAAAAAAATGATGATGAAGATGAGTATTTATTTATGGCACCTCAAGAATTCAATTCACATGAATTGAATACTTGGCTCATTGATAGTGGTTGCACTAGTCACATGACTAAATATTTATCATTTTTTACTTCCATTGACAAATCAATTAAGCCAAAAGTCAGGATGAGAAATGGTGAAATTGTACAAGTCAACGAAAAAGGTACAATTTCTATTGCAACCAAGAAAGATATGATAATTGTTAAAGATGTTCTCTACATTCCAAAATTGGATCAAAATGTTCTTAGTGTTCCACAAATGCTAAAGAATGGTTATGGAGTCTCTGTTAAAGAGAATTATTGTTTTATCATGGATGAACATGGTTTAGAGATTGCGAAAATTGAGATGACCAAAAACAGTTTTTATTTGAAATTTGATTTGGTTGAAGATCATGATTTTATTGCTAAAATTGATGAGAGTAATGTTTGGCATGAAAGATTTGGTCACACTTTTATGCATGATGTATTTGATATGACAAATTCCAACAAATGGTATTCAAAGACAGGAGGAGGAGTTAGTTGAATGACTATGAAGACAATGATTTTGGTCAAGAAATTGATGTGCAACAACTTAATGACATGACATTTCAAAACTCAATTTTTGGAGTTCATGAAACTAAAATTTGTGATGTTCATGACAAATCTCAAGGAGGAGTGTTAGATTTTTGAGATTTTCCTTTTAAAT